AATATAGAACACATCTCAACACAAACTGCTACACCAACTTCACAGGCATGAAAACATAGTACATCTACAAAATGAACCTCTTGCTTTTCTCTTGTCAAGAGAGGAGTTTCTGGCCCCCTTCACCTGGGCTTTCCGTATAGAGTGACAAAATTTAAGGTCAGATTCAACTATTAGCTATCCACAAATAACCATTTGTCCAGCTTAGTGTGTGTGTGTGTGTGTGGTCACGATTCTTTCACAATGCCTTTTTGTATTCCCTAGAACTTAGAGTTATACTTTTATGCTAAAACAGAACTACAGCTGACAACAGATCATCTCCTCCTCCAAAGTCTTTAAAGATAGCAGGATTTGGAGATTATCAAGGATCCCAGAACTCTCTTCTATATTCACTTTACAGATGCTACATAAAAATAAAAATAGATATAAAAACTGTACACACATGAAAGCAGTGAAATAAGTGGGATCAGCAGAAAGAAGCCTTTCTTCTCACCTCTCAGTGAGGTTTTTCTTTCTCAGCAGCAAGGTGGCAATTCTAAGGTTCTTCCGAGTCATGGTAGCATCAACTTTGTGCGGATAAAGAGTTAAATACCTAAGGTTTACTGCTATGCCTACAGCTTCCAATAACATCAATTCTCATTGCCAGGCTGAAAACTTCAAACATGCATTTGAATTTAGGAGCAGAACTTTGGCATCAGGGTGGGATGAATCACCACGGCTGGCCTATGAACATCTCAGGTAGTTCGCTGCAAGCTGCAGGTGTTTCGGATATTTGGTAAGAATCTCCCTTCATATCAACACTTAGGCAGCAGTGCAGAAACTTCCCATTAAGTAACAGCCTTTAGAAATGTTAAGCTCCTTCCTGTGTTGTTTAATTCAAAGGCAAACATTCCACTATACTATTTTAATTTCAGTTATTTTTTTAAAAATGAAGACTGTGTTCTGCTAACAACAATACTCATTTTTGCAAAAATAGCAATATAGGACAATACACTCTTGAGACACTACAGTCAGTATTGTTGCTAAAACTGCTTCTGATAAGAAGTGGGTCTTCAAATGCAGATACTTAAGGTAAAAAGGAAACTGCAGTACATAACAATGCAAAAATTAAGTCTTTTGAGCCAAAGCTGTACTATTTTTAGCATCAAAATGTCTTACTAGACTACTGAAGAAAAGCTTTGCATCTTGTCAGCAGTTGTTTTGGGTCATGCATATAAATACTACCAAGTAATTTGTGACCAGACAACATACTCTTTGTTCAGGGATTTAATATTTCAACTATTTGCTAAATGTCAACTTCTACAGCAAATAAACAAAGCTTAACAAGCCACATCGAAAACCGCTTACAGAAAATTATTCTGGCAAATGGAACTGTATATCTGAAATATTTCATGATAATCACAACATGTTTTCGTGGCTTATATTCATGATGACAGTTATGTGGCAAATTCTCCAATAAGTTTAGATAACAGCATATACTTCTGTTATCTTTTATATGCCTTCCAGTTCTACCTTCTAATATTTATACCTATTGCCAATTCCTGAACACCGGCTACAAGAGTAAATCTTCTAGGGCACTATTCTTTACTCTGATTAAAAAAATCCCTATATTTTCTAGCATGGGAACAGTCCTCCAACTAGTAAACAGACACTACTGCACAGACTTGGGTTTTTTGCAGTTGCCTTTTGTGTCCTTCTCCAGAGATCTGCAAACCATATGTTGAAATACATTGTCCCCAGACTCCAACACATCTCTCGTGAAAAGCAAACAGTTTATAAATAAGGTACTTAATGAAAGGTCTGTATTGGTAGCACAATTTCACTCCCAGCAGCAATAGGCCATATTTCTGATTGCAGGTACTTGTATGGTTGATGAGAAATGATGATTCCAATGCCACCAGGTATTCTTCAGCGGGAAGGAAGGTGGCCCAATTGCATGCCAGGTTATCGGGAGGAGAACTCATGATGTGTTTGCCCAGATCTCCAGTTACCACCTCTCCCCAAAAGACTGGACTGTTTTCAAAGCCCATCCCCCCCCCCAAAAAAAAAGTTTATTTAAATGAAAACTAGACATTTGATCTGTTTAAATACAGAAAACTTATCACACTGGGAGTGAGACGTAAAAAGGTTTGTACGTAATTCTGCCACAAAAATGGTGTTCTTGTAGGCAAGCTTTTGCTGCCAGTTCTGATTTTACCCAACTTGGTGAATGTCTGAGATACAACAAGCTCTGTCCAGCCTCCCTTGCTTCCTGAGCAGTTTTTCCACCACTATTAATACATGGTAAGCTGCTGCTTGCTCCTCAACCTGCTACACCCTGCAGGACAAATAGCTCCCAGTGTGAGAAAAGTGTTACCTTTCATATGGCTCTGCCTCCACTTCCCACAATCTCCTTAAATAGACATAAAAGCTGTACACAAAAATGGATTACCAACTTTCCTTGTGGTTATATCTTACACTTCTACAAGCTAAAAAACTTGGTTTTGAGTGTTTAACAGTTCCAAAACTCCACCCGTTTCCTTGATACATCTCAGGAAAAAATTTGCTATCAGTTTTTTCATCATGACACAATGTACGTCTAAGAATAGACTTCGTCCTGGTTTTCCTTACTTTAAAAAAAGTTATTTTTGTAATATCCCCTTTTGGTTTTGTGTTTTGTTGTTTTTTTTTTAAAACAATCATACCATTTTGCAGTGAAATAGCTATCCATGATGAAGTTAACCCCCTCCAGTGGTCTCTTCTGCTACCTTCAATTTGATAGCAGAGATCAAAATAGACAGAATATACTCAGCACTGACTTGATTTCCCTGCTCATCTCTGTTCTGGACTTTTGGAGAATTCATACGTGTCTGTACATTACCCAAACCCCTTGTTTAGTGTTAGAGGTGAATCGCTACCAGAACTGCAGACATGCTCATATGTACGGAACCACCCACATGTATCAGATAATCTAGATTTCTGTATAAAGCCTTGAGAAACAGTAAGGTACAAGAAGAAAATCATAGCTGCTGCACTCTTTAATTTTATGTTAGTTCAAACAGAATAAAAACAAATTTTCCCTATGACATATTTAATTACTGGAGTCTTTTGAGAAGGAAAACTTAAACTTTGCAGTAGGAGTTGGCTCAAAAAAATTCAGTTGCTTTTTTTCTCTTTTCAGTATACATAGGAAGAGATACAGTGTGATTCAATCCTCTAGAAACAGTTGGCTACCCAGTACAAGAAGAAAAACTAAAACCTGTAAGCTTTCCAGCTGAAAGAAATTATCCTCACCTTACAAAGAGTAGTGACCATTAGAACAAAACTGCAGTGTTCACTGCTTTATGATACTTGAGCTTTCTACATGCAGATATCAGAATTTGTAATTTGGCTCCCCAGTCTTTCTTGTATGACAGCTGCACCTTGGCAAACTCCACTATTTCTCAAGCTCTTTATGTTCGTGCAACCTACAATGGCCAGCTCTTTCTTCAGACTTTCTAGTCCACAGAGGATGGACCAGATCTGTGCTATATACTGAGAGAAAAAAAAGAGAGAAGTGTTTGTAGCTGACAGACAGCGCCATATGTACATATCAGCTGCAGATGAAATAAGGTGCTCTGTTTCAAAAGTTGCCACAAATATTTCTGATAAAATGTTTCCAACTCAACAACAATATTATAAATAATTCTGTGTTTCTTTTAAAGGAATAAGATGTTTTCTTCACATAATTTTCAGGGAGTTTTAAAAATAATTTTCAGAGAAAATTATTCCAAGAAAGTGAAAACATTCCCCGGTTAATTTCTGTTCCTCCAGAAGCTTGTGCGAGCATGCTACTACTGATATAGTAATCTTGCTTCAAACAGTGTATAATAACTACAAAGGCTTTGATGTGTCATTCTATGATACTCATCCATTTCAAGAAAAAAACTCTAGGAAAAAATGTTTTGATACGAATGTACGCAGGTTACACTACACCATTGTGCCAGTGTGATATGCATCTGCATTTTGGTGAGTTATATTAGGAGATATTTTTGAAAGCTCCCTTCAAAAACTAAGAGGAGTGTTTCTAGAATTGTATTTTTCCTGTGAGTTTTGAAGCAAATCCAACCTTACTTATGGAAAAACTATTTTTATGGCCTTGGCAGGAAAAAAAATCACTTTTAAAATGTCTCCAGAATGCCCTGCTTGGTAAAAACACGAATTAATGTTCCCTTACCTCTGACTTATCAGGATCCTTTGAAATGTCTGGATGAACCCCCAAGAATTAGAGACCCCAAAATCACTTCTGAAAACTCATCCAGTGTTAAACCCTGGTAGGAGCAAACAGAAGATAGTTTCAAATGTGGGGGGGGAAATGAAACATCCAATTTCAAGAAAAGGCATTCAGGTAAATGTGGTTTAATTTAAAATTTCCTTCTTCTAACTGAACTATAATTCCCCATGCATGCATATCTTGAAATGTTACCAACTTCAGTCAGCTTTTCACTGCTACCTCTAGTTTATCTTGCATCTCCACACTTTGTAACTCCCCTTCAGTAACACGACTTAAATGCATCCAGTATATAACAGCAATAGAATAATCAATCTACAGATTTTTGTTCTGTAACACCTTCTAGCTTCCTAAACTTTGTCAGCTTCTACTGTGCAGCCACAAGACACACCCACCAAGCTTCAGGTCTTATGCCTGTTCCCACTGCGAAAGGACAAAACTACCACTTGTTTTGGTGCTCAAACTCCAGAGTTTACTCCTGAGTTAAGTCTTCACAAATCAGTCCATCTGCTTGATAAAATATCTTTTATTTGTTACTGCCCACCTTACTTATTGTGTGTCTGGCGGTGTGGTCATGAAGAATTATGTATCTGCAAACACATAATAAAACAATACTTGTGGCTAATATCAGGTTACTCTGTAAGTAACTGTGTGTCTTTCAGGCTGCCTATGTGACACAGGAAAAGATACCTGAGGATGTCACAGAAAGGTACTTAAAGAAGAGGGATCATGTTAATACAGAAGAATGCCCCAACTTTATTTACTCTTTTGGAGTGGGTTCTGGGTGACAGATACACATTGCACTGCCTTATGCTACTTAATGCATCCAACTTCCAATTCAACTTCTTCATCTGTGGATTTGGGATCAAAAATTTGTGTTGTTCCTCTTTTCAAGGTAAACAGTAAAATGGAGACTGCAGAAGTGTTCAGCAATTAGTTCTCTGCAAAAAGAAACTACATTAACTTGAGGAACATTTTTTAAGTGGACTACATTAGAAAAACTACATGGAAAGGAATAAAACCGAATCTGTTCTTTTTCACTTTAGTTTATCAATGCTGTCTGTATCTTTCATTAGCTAGACAAATTACTTACAATCTCAGAAAGATTACTGTTGTTTATCAGGCTAAAAAGTGGAAATAATGGCTGTTGCAAGGAATTATCTGCCTTATTGATCTCCAAACTTTCTTCCGCAATATAGACCCTAACTGCAGTAACTCCATCACATGCTTTTTTTATAGTTCCTTTTAGGTTTTTCCTAATTTCTCAGTTACTTCCGTGTAAATATATGTACTGAACAAAATATCATGAGTGGCACTGCTGGTGGGTGCCTATGTTTATTCTAGATCAGAAATATATTACATTGAGAATTTTTTCATATCTAGCCTACATGTATATTCTACATGTCTTTTGTGAACGATCTGAGCAGGGTTGGCAGAACGGACCGCAGCCTTTTCCACACTCAAGGCAGAAAAAGTTTCATACTGAATAGGAAGCCACACAGGACTATTAGGTGCTGTTAAGTTTAGCAAATTGCTGACAGTTTTCAGGTCATATTATCAGTTTTGGATGTAGGCAGAATTTAGACACCTGGATTCTACTGAAAGTACTTGAGTGTTTATTTAAATTTAGTTCCAAGTACTTTCTTTGAGGAAGTTTGATACCTGCTCAGTTCTCAGGCATGGAACAAGGACTTGAGCAGTGAGTGAGCTCTAAGGAACTGACACGTTCTCTAAGGAGAAGCATAAGTACTCACACTTGGAGTGTGGCAAAACAAGGAGAAACATAGAGCTGATACTTGTGTATAAAAATCTCAGGATCAACAAAAAGGCCCACTTACTTGCATACAAATCCTCATCAATTTAATGGAAGCCTGGAATACTCGTGAACTGTTGGCTAAGATACAGACTGGAAAAGTTCCCCAAAAAGTGTTTCATTACTTGTGTGGGTGTGGGGAAAGTGTTATAATTCATCAACTGTATCTGAGTAGTTATGTTACTTTATCACTTTCTAAGCCAAAGAACTATTTTTAAATTGAATTAAAAAGTGCTACTTATGCAGTTATCCAGTGGATACTCTCCAAAACAACATTCCCGTAGCTATCTTGGGTCAGAACAACATGATGAATCAGCATGCAAACACCACCAGTTCTAATACAATTAATTCCCTTTATTTGTTCATCCCCCCACTAGGATGTGGTTTGTATCCATCCCTCATAATTTACTCCTAATGTATGCTCACTCTTAAACATAAAGAATGTAAAGGAATCTAAATATGATATAATTTATTTAATTCAGAATCAGAAAAGTGGAGCTTTAAGGGCAAAAAACCAAAACAAAATGCACACTAATAAGGAAGGCTTAAAGGAGACTACTGTTCACTGAGACCCAATTCTGCTGCCAAAATTTTTGTAGCTCCTACCTTTCTACAGAGCTACTCCTCATATCATGGATGGCAGGAATAGCAAAGGTAATATATTGACTGTCTGAGTATCAAGCTGTCTTGGCTGTTTAATCCTCACGAAATCTGAAAAGGGAGAAAGTCTTTTCTCTCCGTCATATATATTTTAGTTCTGACAGACCTGCCAGTAAGCAGATAGCCTTCTTCCAAAGTGGGGGCTTAAATAAGACAGAGATGCCTAAAAAGTAACGTGTTCTTCAGAGGTCACTCTGATAAAGATCTGTGAAGGTTTTCATGTTGTGAAACGAAAGGGAAGATATGACCTAAAAAAACACATAATAGTCCAAATCTTGAATCTCCACAAATTTAGACCTTTTCAACCCAGCTTCTTCCACGTGCACCCTGCACAAAGTTAGAGATCCCAATAATAGCACCCTAACATTTACACAACTTAGACGAGAAACAATTTAAACAGTATAATAAGTGCTTGATTTGTCTCATTAGGAAAAAAATAAAAGGCTTTCCAACAGAATGAAAGCAGCCCATTGGTAGATTCCAGGCTAATCTGCATCTTTCAGAGCTTTCCAACTGATAGATTCAGCTAAAAAACACATCTGCCACTAAGGGCTGTGCATCAAAACATCCCTGTGAGCAATAGGCCTGCCAGCTGCTGGCATTTCAGGGCTCTCAGTGGCATAAGCTGAGTAGCACATATTTGTGCAAGGGAAACAAATCAAAAAGTCTTTTCAATTTACTCATCCTGTTTGGAAGCTCCTCAAAGCTTCTCTTTTACTGACCTAATTGTTTGTTTAATTACCTCTTCTTACACACCTTGCTTAGCAGTTTGTAACAAATTCTTTTTTTTTTTAAGGTTAATTCAATGCTAATATTCTGTCAGCTATTTACCTGATTCTTATATCTGCTTCAGAAAGAACCTAAATATTTAATAATTAAATTTTAAAACGGCCAACTTATTTTCTGTCTGCAATAACCTCATCTTTTTCTTCAAGAAGGTGGATCCCAACAAAGGTTTCCTAAAGTGTTCTAAAGAGCCAGGTGACAGTGCCATTCATAATTATTCTTCAAAAATGTTCCTATTCCTATTTGTCCTGTCTTAACCTTTTCCCTTTACAAATATCTCCCACATGATCCCAGGATACTTAATTGTGCTACAAAGTTCATCTAAATGGCTCTGAAGGTAGTGCCAGATTGAAGGAAAATGAATTAATTTAATTCCCTCTTTCCCGGCTTCTGGATATTGTATTCTTTGCACTGAGACAGAAAGGCTAATAAGGGCTGTATCACTGATGATCTTCTCCTACATAACAGAAAACATGCAAATGTTTCCATCAAACCCATGGAAAAATGGACCTTGTGAAAATCTGACCCTCTAATGCACTATATATGTTGTGATTTGCAGCTCCAATACCAAATACAGTGTTTAATCTGGAGGTATGTGATTTTTCAGAGATAAATTTCCCTCACTGATCATTCGAGGATTTCCTAACTACATACATGTAAGAACAATTGCCGGTAGGATAGCTTTATTAATTAAAATTAAATTTAAATTAGTGCTACACTGGCAACATTTCATCATTCACATTTAATTTTCCTAATTTCTCCCTGGCTTGCATATTTTGTACGTCTTCACTGTTCAAAGATTAGTTCATCTCAAACTAATCTTAGCCCTGACTGAGCAGTGCCATACCAGTATGAGTTTATTTATTTTTAAATAGGATTAGAAATCATGGAAATTTCTTTTATTGTTGGGTAGTAGAGACATTTTGCTAATGAATTGCTGGCTTGTCTCCTTTTACTTGTGATATCACCTATCTTAACTATATAATGGATTTGGGTGACAGAGGTTAAAGCATCATAATTCACAAAATTTTAGTTTCAAGAAGGGAGTAGACAACAGTATAATGAATTGTAAATAGATCATGTTCAACAAACATTTAGTATAGAATTGGGAATACAAAGACGAGAGGAAAACAATTCTAATTTAAATCAGCACTTGCTGTTGAAAATCAGTCATTCACAACAGGTTCTAAATACAGAGATATATCTCTCTAGTATTTTGCGGGGAGAGGGGAGTGGAGGGAGAATAATAAGAAGACAGCAAAAGACGCAATCATGACTGCGACCAGTTCAGTCAAAGCTCCTGTTAATCAAACAGCAGTGACCTCAAACGTTAAACTAAGAAAACACAGTTCTACAGTGAGAATCAGTCACACATCCCTACTTCAGTAAGAAAGCTTAAATATGTTAACCTGTCTTCAAAAGGTTGAAATGGAGGTGGAGAGCTCAGACGTGAACATCAAGAACAAACAAAGAATGGGAATACTTTATGGGGAGAGAGTGGAAAAATGAAATCATCAGTCTTAGAAATAGGTAGTACAGAAAACAGAGAATAATATTGGGAAGGCAGATAAGCCTACTCATATTTTCTTACAGTATTGGAATTAAATTAAAAAATAGCAAATTTCAAGGCAAGACCAATTTAAAAACAAACAAACAAAACAAAAACCCACCCTTTGATATTCAGTCAAACTGTGTATGTAGATTTCATTGCTACAAGATGCTTTGCAGCTTTCAGATACTGTTCAATAAAGAAGTTGCAAAATAAAGGTCATTGGAGAAGGGGATGCTTATACAGAAATTAAAGTTTTGAAATTAATACAAATCGTGGTGCTCCTTGGAATGAAACAACCTCCATTTATTGCAGGAAACTTTTAAAAGACTGTTTCTCTGCAGAAACCTAATGCAGAGTTCTTTCCAAAAACTTTCTGAAGTAAAGAGTCAAGATTGCTGTCAGATATTGGACTTGGTAAACTGCTTCTACAGTCTAGTTATGAAGTTCTTCAATTTCTACCAGTTGTGTGGAGTTGTAATGAAAAGTTACCCTCGAGATACCAAAATTCTTGGTGTGGAATTTAGGCTGTGGAAGAGGGAAGCTACAGGCTGCAATTTACTTTAGAACAGGTCCTGCATGGAATAAAGGAAACTGTCAGCCTTTCTCTGCAGAGGAGAACTCAGACACAGGCAAATATGAGACCTTAGGTTTGGCCCTGACATCACAATTGAACACCTAAGATCCTCTTCTGTGGTCTGTATACACCTCCTTGTTGCCCCAGTGCCTGGATCTTTTGGAAGTAGCTATTTAGTCAATGAGCATAATCTGATTTTTAAGAGAGCAGGTGAAAACTTTTAAAAAGCAAACATTTAAAAGCAATTTTTCCATATAAAACATTACTTGTCAAAAATGGTTCTGTTGGTTGAAATTGTGCTATTCTAGTGGTGTCCTAGAATAAAGATAAAACCATAATAAGCTATAATTCCTGCACCTTCTGTGGTCTGGTAAAACTCCACTGAATCCAGCCAGGTTACACTGTCACCAGCTGCGGAATAATCAGCTCAAATCTAGCTGTGGTATAAAGCAGTTTAAATACATATGTTTCAAATATTAACGTGGCTGCAAATGCCTCATTACTTGTATGGAGCCACAGTAAACGTTAACAGTTTACGTTCAGTTTTGCTCTGACGCCTCTGCTCTGCAGTGAGAGCAGGGTAGTTACCCAGAGGGATAACCGGGCACCAGGGTTGGGATACGGGCGGCAGCACACCCTGCTCCGGTGGGCTCCTTCGAACAGAGGCTGAGGGCTGGCACCCGCCTCACTCCCTGCTCTGAGCACGTCTGCGGCTCATTTCCAAGGGACCCGGAGGAGGAGGCAGGAGACGGCTGGTGGGATCGCTCGCGGCAGGTCCCCGCGCCAGCGCCACGGCCGTCCCCGGTGCCCGGGGCTGCGGGAGGGCAGGGCGAGCCGCGGGGCTCCGGGGCGCTCTCACCTGTCGATACTTATCACGCAGAGGGTCATGATGGAGGCCGTGCAGCACATGACATCCATGGCGATGAAGACGTTGCAGAAGAGACGCCCGAAGATCCACTCGCCGCCGATAAGGTCGGTGACGCTGACGAAGGGCATGACGGCCAGGGCCACCGAGAGATCTGCCAGGGCCAGCGAGACGATGAGATAGTTGGAGGGCTGCCGCAGCTTCTTCACGAAGCAGACAGAGATTACCACCAGGCAGTTGCCGGCGATGGTCAGAAGGGTGATGAGGCAGAGCACGGCCCCGATGAGAACTTTCTCCACGTTGCCGTAGCTGAGGATTTGCTCTCCGCACTGGGAGTCGTTGGCTGGGAGAGGGCTCGCCGTGGGCAGCGCCGACGGGGCAGGAGACGGACCGAGCTTGGCCAGGCTGCGCGGGGGCCAGGAGCCGGCGATCATCCTGCCGCCGCTCAGCGCCCGCGGGTCCTCCAGGACCAGGGGCCGGAGGTTACCGTAGAGGTGGCTGCCGTTGAGGGTGAGCACCATGTTGGCGTGAGCAGCCCATGAAGCCCCACCACCCGCCGCCCGCTCGCCGGCTGTCCCCGCCGCGGGAATGCTCGGGCTCCTCCTCGGGCGCCCGGCGCCGCCCGCCCCCTCGCAGCCGGCCGAGCGACCCGCCGGGGACCCAGCCTTCAACTTCCCCCCTTGCAGCCGGGCTCGCCCACGGCTCATCCCGGGTGGCCGCGGGGTGGGCACGGCGCCATCGCTCCCACCCGCGGCTGCTTCCCGAAGGCGATGGGATGGGAGCCGCTCCGCCCCCCTCTCCCTCCTGCCCTCTGAGCTGCAGGTGGGGGAGCGCCCCTTCACCGCAACCCGGGGCGCCGGTCCCTCCTCCCGCTTCTCCGTGGCCGCCCCAATCGAGGGGCTATCTGGGAACCCCCTGTGTATATGTATGTACGTACATATGCATATATGTATACGGGTCGCACCCGAGAAGCTGCAGGCGGGTGGCCGCGGCTGGAGCAGAGGCTCCCGCAGGCTGAGCTGCCCCGGCGTAGAGCGGTGCGAGCCTCTCGGCTCCAGCGCGGCTCTGCGGCGGGATCGGCTGCTTCGGGAGCGCCTCTGCCCGCGCTACCGGGATATCCGTGCAGAAAGATTCGGGACCGTGGCTGCTGCTAGAGTTAATAGTGGTTGATCTTTTAAGATCTACCCCCCAACAACAGGTCAGCGCTGAAGTATCTTTGTATCTTCAAGCTTGGGGATTCTCTTTCGTATTAATATTTATATACCATTGTTTTCAATTTATTCACTGTTCCATGTTTAATCACTTCAGTAAAGTTAAAAACAACAAACTCCCATTGCTTTGAATTACCTACTTTTCTTGCATGTTCCCTGAACTCTGAGACTCACTAGCTTTTCTCAGTTCTTTAAGTCATAGTCTTGCCTCCAAGTGGGGTGAAAGCTAACTGTTTGAATTGTCAGTTACCCATGGGATGCCAGCAGAAGACTACACCTCTTGGTATAGTAACATACTAGACAGTAAGGATTAAAAACAGGAAACACCTGCTCCTGAACATTCCCTTGCGTTTTCTACGAGAGACAGAAGCCAGATGAACTAGAGAAGGAGAGGAAATGAAAGGAGGACCACTGATCCCAAATGGATCAGTAACCAATGTCAGTTATGTTTGAATGAAGGGGGATCTTGCAGGTAGCAACAATATAGCAAGTTTTATTTAAGTATGTACCAGTCAGAAGGCAGAACTATGTGTGAGACCCAGTAGTAAGAGAGTCTACAGCATGATCTCACATCATACAGAATCTAAAATCTTCTTTTAAAACAGGCCTAATAAGTATCTAGCAATTGGAAAAAACCCTTGATTGACAGTCATAGGCACCACTGAAACATAAATCCATAACAAGTGAGGGTTCCATACTTGGCTCAGGGAATGTCTTGGGGCTTTCCAACATGCATGACTGGGTTGGCCCATACATGAGTATGCCTAGGACTGGGGTTGGGGTCAGCTGTGCCTGACACAAGTTGAGCATAGCAGAGCCTCCAATGGTCAGAAATGCAGCAGGCAGCAAGCAGGTTTGGGAGTTTGGTTGCTGGCTCTCCCTTCCACTCCCACATCTTGATTTGACTAAGATAATAAAATAAGCAAGTTTCATGTGTTAAGGATGAAATCTAGTTGTGCAGCTCTTTGACCATTACCAAGTTGAAAGTGTTTTCCTATTCAGTCACGTATTTTCCTAAACTTTGTTAGTTGCTCCATTGTGTCTAATCACAATAAAAGCTTTCCTTGTTTAACCACAGAGAATGTGTTTATAAGCTTTGAGCTTCAGGTGAGTTGAAGCAAGTCCTTTTTCTGTCTTCCTCAGTTAAGGAAATATTAGGAAGAAAAAGTTCTTTAGAAATGGAAAGGGTACATTAAAATAAGTTAAAGCATTAAGGCAAAACTTGGAGAAAGGAGAATGTTTCCTCAATGACTGAATACATTTTTTAAAAATACTGTCTGAAGTACAGCTAAGGAGTTAGGAATTGAGTAAATTTTGTTCAAAATAGGTTCATATCATAAAAGTTAATAACATTGTACAATATAATACTCCCAGTAAAAGCAATTTTTCACTTGCTTAAAATGTCACTAAGGCAGAGCAAATTATAATCCGGTGCTTCCTACAAATGTGTTGACACAGTTCATTAAATCAGTTATTCTTCTTGACAGCTTTTCAATACATTTCTGGAACGTGACTCTCTAAATATTCTCAGTGGATGATGTGCAGGATCACTTGTGTGTACTCCTACTCATTCCAATCTGAAAGAAGGATTTAGCCTCATCTTTTGTTCTGCACCTTCTAATACAGTTCATTAGAAGTTAATCACCTGATGTCTTTCCTTCTCAAGGGCCATACGTTACCGTTCTTTGTATTTACTCTCATAATCTTATCTTTGAAGAAACAAATAAATTTAAGTCAATTTATGTACCATTATAAAAAGGGATTTATGTAATATTGCAGAGAAAATGTGAAACCTTGGAAAGATGAAGCACCTGATACCTCTCTAAAATATGTCTCTTGAAAGCTTTTCTCTAGGACACATCTAAAATAACATTTCAGTTTCCAGGGCTGGGCTGAATCTGGAGAGACGCTTTCCCTGAGGGCTTTAGAGACTTTGACATCCTCAGTGTCTCTGAAAGTAGAGAGCATCCATCATTCCATGAGATGAGAGCTAGTCTAGATACTTAAAACAAGGATACATGAAGGTAGGGCTTGATGTTTCCAAGGGTACATCCTGCTTTTGTCTTCAGTGATCCTATTTACAAATTCTAACATGTTGTTCCAGACAGCATACAGAAGTGAAATAAATGTCCAATTAGGTGTTAAGAATAACATGTTGACATTTGTTCTCTCCCCAAGAAATTACTTTTTCACCTTCCATTAGGCTTCAATAAATATAATCAAATCATTTTTTTGCTGGCTGAGCTTAGTCAAGTCCTGTCCTTTTGAGTGATTTAGGCTTTCTATGCATAAAAGCTTCTTAATATGTCTGTATACCTCCAAGTCTGTGCTAAGGCCCTTGTCACTCATTCTTTCTTCACTTACTGAAGGTAAACTATTTTGTTCAGATGTGATAATGTACTTTATTGACAAATATCAACTGTGATATTTCACTGTTACTATATAGAAATGTTTCAGATTAAAAGAAAAAAAAAAAAGCAAGAGAACTTTTTACTTTGATTTTTTCCTCTCCAAAACCAATTAACTTATTTGTTTTATTTTGTCTCCTTCTCCAGAAATAGTTCTAAATAACATAACATCTACAGCATTTGTCATTCATATAAGGGTATGATATAACAGTGGGTATTGGTATCAATTTGTTGTCCCCATGTTAGTGAGATAAGGTAAGATAGGTATCAGAACTGGCTAAGGAAACAAAATTTTCCAGGCACATGTTGATTTAGTGAGGCCAGACTGTATCTATCAAAGTGTTTGTGTTGAAGAACTTGCACTAGATCCTGGATACTTCATCCCTCCCTGGAGGACTTAAATGCTTGCAGAGTCTGTTGAGACAGAAGGTCTGTGTTAGCTTGGAGGATCCTGACTGAAATGGGTCAAGGAATGCAGTGCAAGAGCTTCAGCAGTGGAGGAGGAAACGCTGACAACCTGGCATGGTAACACTTTTCCTCACACAGCTGCCTGTAGAAAACAGTCCTGCTCATCTTAGCATAAGAGCTTGAAGGCACTGCTACATTACCCTTCTTAAACCATTCAATTTTGGATACATGGCAAGAAGGTAACACAAGTGAGCAATGCAAAAAATAAACAGATCAGAAATTTTTCTTGCTCTTTTTCCTATCATCCCCTTTTTTATCCTTGCGTGAGCCAGTTTATCTCTCTAAACTGTTATTTTCATTTGTCTTGCAATTTTTTTTGTTTCCTTTTGTTTTCATCTATTTTCTTAGAAACCAATATATATATATATATTTATCACTTGCTGTTGGGAACAACAAATAAAATATAGGTATACATTTCTTCTGCCTTGGGGAAATACGTTGTCAAAATATTTAGAATATTTTATCAGAGACTGGCTAGAATTCCATGGACAATGATTACTGAAACCTCGATTTTTATTCCCTGCATGTGCTGTTTAACAAATAAGACTCTTGTCTAAGTTCTAGCAAAGATGTTGCAGCTGCAGTTTTCTTTTCTGCCTTTTCTTGTCTTTGTGAAGATAAATCATTATCACTCTGTGAGAGTAAAACAGAGAGGTAAACTTTCTCACCTTTGGCGTTTCTTATCATTGTCAAACTAAATACTTGCATCTGTGCAACTTAAATATGAAATTATGTCTTCCCTTTTTTTAGAACCAACAAATGCTAACAACAGGAAGCTGGCAGCTGAAAAGAAAACAAACAATTAAGATGACACTTATGCTAAAAATTCTGTATCACTCAGAAAATGAGAGCTCCCAACCCGAAAGATTCAGTCTGCACCTTTACAAAGGAGCTTTTTGAGGTTATGCGGTTATGATAAAAGTGACTGTGACATTCATGTTACTGAGTTGCTAAGACAGATAGTACTAAATAATCTCTTAGCTCCCTGAAAGTGCTAAATGCAGAACTAAAGCAAAAAAAACCCTAACAGTTGCTACCATGGGCTGCCCATTCAAAACCTGTTAGAAGAATCATTAGGGTTTCTGCATCAAAATTTACTGAAAGGATGTCTTGAGATGTGGGTGTATTGAGAAAGAAAACACCTGGAGTGAGGAGATCTGTCTTCACCAAGGAGGACTTCAGGACACTGATGGAAAAAAGTATGTTAGAAGCTTGTGGCTTAACAGTGAGGATCATTAGGAGGTTCTAAGTAGATCATTGGGGCTGGCTTAAATAAAAGCAGCAACATCTAAGTAATATCATAGGAAATAAGGTTGTGCACCGGTCTGAGAACATGATTCATGATACCTCATACTGGAAGTGCTTCATACTCAGATTCTTACATCATTACAGCAAATAATAATAATAAAAATAATAATACGTTCTGCAGATCTTCCATACGAAGATCTGTTTAAAAGTTCTCCATTTTAATGCCTCAAGGAAAAGTTTGTTTTGCCTGTATATTGCCAGAAACAAAAGCTGCTTAATCCTGTTTGGTGTCTCTGAACACTGCTGTAGTAAAAATAACTGATACATATTTACAGATTTCTTTTTACATTCATTAAGACAAATTAAATCAAGTTCCATTGTACACTGAGTCAAAGAAAACCTGGAGTAATACCTCAAGCTCTTCCATTTTTACAGATATCAAAGAAAAACTTTGGCAATACCACTCAAGCTGTCCTGCTTGTTCAAATGACTGGCAAAGAAGCAGTAGCGGCTGATCTGATTGTAATAGGCGAACACTTTACAGATGCAGATAAATTAAAAGAGAGCTCCTTTACTGAAATATCTTATCCCAGTATTGTCAAGAGCAAAATGCTGCTATAGGTGTGTCAAGAACAAAGATGGTTTACCAGCTGGTTTGGCTTATTTTCCCTTTCAGAGGGATGTGTTTTTTTCCTGTCATAGACATGTGGCAGGCTGTTTTCTACTGACCCTCAAAGCTGCTCCAAACTCCTAGTGCAGTGTCTTCAGCCCATAAGTAGCTTCTCTGCTACCACCATCCCAGGTCTTTGTAACTCATCAGACAGTAATGCTAGAAATATGCCAAGAAGGCACTGTTGTTTCTCAGCTATCCTTTGTAAACCGTGTGATCACTTTGGTAGAAATCAGTCGCAGCTCCTCGCAAGTCCCTTGTGCACAGCCGGCACAAGCTGCGTCAAGGACAGACCCCATACAGAGGGATGTACTAGGGTTTGACAGCATCGATGTCTTCACCTGGGTTACAGGTATTTTTGCCTTATTAAGAATTCAGGGGTCCAGATACCCTGTAGACTTTCCCTGGTGTGCATTTAGCCCAGTTTGAAGAAAGAGAAAGCTAGGCATCCCCTGGCCTGGCCACCTGAAGTCAGATGGGAATCACAGACCTGCTCTAAGTCACCAAACAAACAAACAAAAAAATCTAGTGGGAATTGCAATTTGTATTTTACATATTCTGTGTTATTTATCAATGGTAGAATAACATTTGTGCTTTTCGTAGCAGTGCTACACAGTGAACTTGCATCTGATTAGAGATTCCCTCAGTCCTTCTGCATGTCAGGGGATATTTGTTTCACGTGTTTCAATTAACGTAGGAAAGAGAAGGCCTTGCAACAACTAGAAAGGATTACTTTTATTTCTTATTGACAATGCTCAGATGGAGCTCAACCAGTTTAACAGGCGATAAACGCTCCATTGCAGCAAAGCTACCGCTCCACCTGGTGGGCACACGGCGGCTCTGAGGAGCGCGGGGAGCCTCGGCCGGCGCCGCTCCGGCTGCAGAGACTCCGCCTGCGACCCGAGCAATTCAACCCACAGGCTTTCCCCCGCCCATCGCAGCCCCGTGTCGGGGCACCTCCGGCCGGAGCGCTCCCACGGCCACATGAACCCCCCGTTCCCTTGGTTGCCGCGATGCTGCGGGTGCCGCCAGCCCTGCGGGCCCAGGGGCCCGGCACGGCCCGGGACTACACGGCCCAGGCTGCCGCGGGCGGCCGGGGGGCGGTGCCGCCGCCGTGCGCCGCCGCCGTGCCCGGGATCGGCCCGCCCGCCCCGGCGTGAGCATGGCCGGGTTCGCCGACCTGAACCTGCCGCAGGGGCCCGACAAGAAGTCCCTGCAGAGCCTGCTGGAGGCCGCGGCGCACTGTGAGTCCGGGCGGAGGGGCCGCCTGGGGCTCGGTGGGGGGGCCCGGGGAGCAGCGGGACGCGAGCGCCGGGCTCAGGGAGCTCAGGGCTCAGGGAGCACAGCCGGAGCCTGCGGGCTGGGGTGGGCGCAGCCGAGCTCTCCGGGGTGAGCCTTTCCTTCCCTCCACGCCGGCCGACCCCTCTCCGTCCGCTCCCACGCGGGCGCGTGTTCCCCGGCACCTCCGCGCTCTCCCTGCCCAGCCTGCAGTTTTCTGCAAGTGCCCGGCTCTGAGCAGCGGGGGAAGCTCGTGGTGTGCTTCGCAGGCTCTGTGTCTGCTTATCCCAGCGTAACAGTTGTGTTTTTCCCGACGCGGACAAGTTTTTCTGGCTGCAGTTTCTTATGACCCGGCTCTTTTCCTGCAGAACTGTTGTACAGCCAGGTGCTGCCTGCCCACTGTTTGGAGGTGATTTAAATGCCCCTGTTAAATCTTCTTTAGAGTCGTCCTGAACGACACCTTTCAGTTTCGTCGGCATCATTTTGAGTCCTCATATTTGCCTTCTTCCATAGTTGTTTCTCTCCCAGCTCTGCGTCGCCTGCAGTTTTAACAACTGTCCTGAATGTACTTAACAATTTTCCGTAAAGAAAGTCATAAACGGGGCCAAACTCGGCCAAATCTTTGAGGACCTCAACCCCAAGTATTCGTGTTCATAAAGCTCTGCCATTGAGTACAAGTTGTCAGGCCTGGGATATGTTAAAAGGCAAACAGTTTTGTTTTTTTATTTTAAAACACTTTCTTGGGTGAACCAGCCTTTTAAAAAAAATAATGTGAAAGCTAAATATGCACCCGATTTATTAATTTTAAGACCTTTAAGTAATGACTGTTTAACAGTTTTTTGATTGGATTTGTTTCCATTAGTTTACTGGACAAAACACTCTTATTTTGTGTTTTTCAGTGGGATATTCTGCAGTTGCTCTTAACCATGTCATCGATTTTAAAGAAAAGAAACAGGTAATTTTTCTTGGGATTATTTTTTTAGCGTATTTTCTCTAGTAAACCTACTGCTTTATTGCATGTTCCCAGATAGCTTTATCTGCAGAATGCACATCTAGACACAAGTACAAAGATCTGTATTTGTAAAAAACTCCCATTTTATAATTTAGTATTATTGCCCTTGGGTTAATTTTTAGTGTGGTTTGTGTACTGTCCCAGGGAAATAGTTTTGTTAGCATGGTAAATTTCTTCTCATGAGCGGAACACAGCTTTTGTTTACTTGTAAACCTAACCCATCACATTTTTAATAACTTTGTTCTATTCTCTTTTAAGGAAATCATCAAGCCAGTATCTCCTTCAGAGTTGTTTCCATCTTTGCCTATTGTACAAGTATGTCTAGTTAAATTCTATCTGTGTATTATTATTCTGAGATACATTTTTTTGCCTTGGTGTGTTTGTATATGTGATTTTGTATATTAGATGTTAATCAGAAAAGAGAAATTTGTCCATTGTTTGAGGGTTAAAAACACCAAGCTTTGGAAGAATGGTACACTCACATTAGTCTCTATTCATTATTTTAGAAATTTTTAAAGATTGCTTTATGTGAATTTTGAATCTGCTTGTAGTTGAATAATTAAAGTACAGTTCTCGAAATTTGAGTTTTGGAAATAACTTCCTGGTTTTGATGGAGCAAAATTTGGATATAATAAAATACAAGACTATTTCAGGTCATTGATATTAATTCAGGAACTTGCAGTGGCCTACCTGGGGAATTATAGCAGTAATAAAACATACTCAGTTTTTCTGCGTGATTTTTTTTCTTTATTTCTTTCTTTCTTTTTTCTTTCTGTTGACCCTTACTCAGAGAAACACAATGTCGTTCTTTGTAAGGACAAGTATAATATCAAAGAGATAATATAAATTAGGGAAGTGTAAATACAGACTTTGGAAAACTAGTATAGTAAGACTATAAGCAAGGCACCGTTTTCTTTTTATAGCAGGCTGGGTGGAAATCACCACAAATTTTTTCTTTGGTGGTTTTTAAGTCTTTTATATTATTTCTTGTTCTGTAGGGGACATCTAAAAGAATTAAAGTCTTAACCCGGCTAACACTTGTTGTTTCTGATCCTTCCCACTGTAATCTCTTGGTAAGTATATTTAGTAATCGATTTTCCAATTTTTGTTTCTTTTTCTCAGTGAATGAATAAAATTTTGGAAATTTTATGGGGAGAACTCCCTACATTTTATAGGGCACTCAGCAGTGATTTCTCAGATTGCATCTTTAACAAATAATGTGATCACGAAGAGGTGCAGACTTACAAGACTGGATATGGCTTCTGCTGATCATGTGTCAATAAGGAACAGTAGTTCTGTTCCTTGGTTCTTTTCTTCAATTTCTGGACTTCTGTGCATAAACTGGAAGACCATGAGCAAGCCTTGTGTCTGGTTGTGTTTTAGTGTTACATGATTGAAGCAAAAGGTTTAAGTGCCTTAGTAGGTGGGTGGCAATAAGGCTCAAATTAAGAATGAATGACTTCACAGTAGAGACCTACTGTGTAGTTGGATGATTATTGGCTTTCTTTTAGTACTAGGAAAAAAGAAATTTTCTTCTCATTATTTTGGTTTTAATCATTGTGCATAGCTTTGATATCTGCCAGAATTAAAGGTAGTAATTTTTTGCTCCTTTTGTAGAGATCAACATCTGCAAATATAAGGTTATATGACATCATAGCAGTATTTCCAAAGACTGAGAAACTGTTCCACGTAAGTACAATCATCTGATCTGTAATGCTTATTCAATAACTTTTAGTGCCTTGAGCTAGTTTAAGTACATGCTTTGTTTTGATTTTATTTCCTATTTTATGAAGACCTTATGGGGCTAATTAAGCATTATAGGCTGCCTGGTCACTTAATAGTCTGAGCAGGTTGGGAGGGATTGCAGGAGGCTGCAAGGCCTTGAGGTGACAGGTCAGAGTCTGAAACATCTACCTGATCTACCTGATGAATGGACTCGTCTGCCTCTGCACTGTGGTTGCCTTTGTGTGTCTTGTACTCTAATGAGGAGAGAAAACATTCTTTTTCCCCCCGATATATGTGTATTATCATCATGTAGAAAAATTCTCTCTTGAACTTTAATTTCTCAAACTCTGACTTCCCCAAAACACACTTGTGATCTTCTGTTAGCATTAATTGTTCCAGGTTTCTGAAATGCTGGGGAGGATTTTAAAGTGGAACTAATGTGATTCTGAGAGTTACCTTCTTCCTTTTAGTCCTAGGTCCTCTCGTGAAAGTTTGTCCAAAAGAATAGCTGATATCTTTCTTCTTTTTCTTTTTCCTTCTTTATTTTAAATCAAAAGAGGAGCAGGAGCTTACAAGACAGAGCCAGTTCTGGTTGTCACAGCATCTTATGAACAGATAAACTAAAATTTCCAAAAGTAAATATGCCTGATTAAGCCCAATAGCCCTTGCTTCATTGTCAGACTGAGATTTCTGTTTTTGTTTTGAGTGTTTTGGATGCTCAAGTTGAATGAGAGAAGCTTCACTTCTGTGATTTCATGATACATCTGTTACTTTGCCTGCTGAGAAAACCATTGAGGCTGTACAAAAGTAGAACAGCCTCAGGGGAAACACTTGAAGGGCAGACGGTCATTTTCTCGCTCAGATTTTATCCTGACTGTTCAGAGTAAACTTGCAACTGAAAACTACCTCCACAAAATTCGTGAGTCTTTGAAGGTGTTACTGAACAGGTGCTGATGTTTGTAGCAGTGGTAGCACTCCCAGTATGAGGGAAAATAGTGGGTGTGAATAATTTTCAAACCTTAGTTAGGACTAATTTGTGACCGTAGCTCAACAGCATTGTTTCTCACATTGGTTTATGTTAATAGAAATGCAAATATTTTGAACAAGCCCCCCAATACTCTGTCATTTCTGTCATGTTAGAAAAACAAGGTGTTGCCAGTGTGTTTGACAGTGAACTGGTTTGTTTTATTTCTGGTGTTTGACTGGAGAAGACATTAGTGAGAGTTGATACTTCTAAATACAGTAATGTGCAGTAATTTTTAACCATTACTAAAAGCACCAAGCATCGTATTGTTTTCCAGCCTTTATTCATAGCTGGTATGTCTTCAATACAACTTTCATACCAGAAAAAATCCTAGTTTTAAAAAATTAAAAAATCCCAGTTTTAAAACACTGTCTGAGACAGAAAGATCTCGGCTTGTTGGGTGATAGGTGTTCACCTCCATTTCCCTCATATTTTTATTTAAATTGTTTTCAAATACTTGTTAACAGCTGATGTCAATGTTCTGATCAGGTGGAGCACTTTGAAGCAAATGATGTTTTTATCAGATTTTTTCTTACAAAACCCAATATTGTGGTGTCTGACCTGTTGTAAGCTCATAAATATAGTTAAGTCTGAACTGTGAGAGTAGATGGAAGCATCCCATCTCGGTTAGCCTTGGCAGTCAGGAAGCAGGCGTGCTTGTTGTGTGAGGCAGTGTTAAGGAGGCACAGGGACACCAAAAATGACTGTGAGTCTCTTTGGAGAACTTACTTTCAAAGGGAACTTGTCAGTTTAAAACTGAGTCTGGTGATTGGCTTTTCTAAAAAAGTTAAAGCCACTTTCCAGTACTGTTGAGTACCTGTTTTGCCACATTAAAATTATATTCTTCTGTTTTGTCTAAATTATTTCCCCTCCTTTTTGAAGACTTGTCCAAGTAAAGTACAAAGCAAGAGGCTGTAGAAGAAGGTGAACTTTAAAGAATCTTTCAGTAGAAGAATTCAAGCATTAATTATAACAGTTACAGCTTAATAAAACTAATTTTTGAATTTTATTTCCCATGCAAGATTTTAGGACTCTTGGGGGTATGATGGAGGCAAATGGTTGTAAAAGACTTTTAAGGGCCACTCTCCACCTCTCTCTTTTGATCTCTGGCAACAGCATAAAATCTCACTTCTTAAGTGAGCTCAATCAGTTATCATATGTTTAAACAAGTGCCTGAAGTTAGATAATCAGCAGGGGTATGCTGTGTTGTTTTTAGGGGAAAGGATGTGCTCTCATTTAAGGGTGATTATTGTTTATTTTCAGCCATATCATGAGTCCTGCTGTAGTTGGACATCCAGCTGTGGCGGTGCTTAAGCTGTCATAAACATTTCTGCATGAAAAACACTCATTTCTGCAGGTCCCTGACTGCTCTGCTGATGAGGCTGCTTGTATGCCTAGCTGCCTGGCAGTTTGCTTTGAGGAACCTGCTTTTGGCTGAACAGTAACCAGAGTTTTTGCCAAGTTATTTTTCAGGCAGATCCGCTTTTCTGCTCTGATTCAGCCATGTGGGTCATTGTGGCACAAAGTGGATCTGGGCAGGCTAGTGCAGATAGAGACTGGTTAAGCTGAGAGTCTGTGCAGTGTGTTAGGACAGAAGCAGGATTGTCAGTGGGACCATCTTCATTGCTTCCATGCTGGCAGCACTTTGAGCTGGGGATGGAACCCAAGCATGTTCCTTGCAAACCACATGAGGTGAAAGACTTCATCCTTACATGTTCATGTTCAGGGCAGGTTTGAATGTGTGGCTTTTGTTTTAAGATTTTAGATTTTCTAAACTGTCTGTGGAGAGCTGTGTCAGTTTTGTAGAGGTATCAACAGGGAGTCTGACACAAGTGACATTACATATGGGGTTTCAGCACCTACATTTGGCTCTTATGACTCATGGATGTTTCTCCGTTAAGAATAAAGCCATCTAGAGTGGGTCACAAATCAACTTCATATTTTAAAATTGGTTTTTGGTAACTCAGCATTACCTCAAGGGTATGAGGAAGCTATATTTGCCAATTGTAGAACAAGCTTCTTCTTTAAGTCTCCCAGAAGGATTGTTTTGGGCTGCAACAGGAATGCCCACTCTGTGCCAGTAATAAGGTCTGTGCCTGTTGCTTTTCAAAACTTTTGCTTTTTAAGATTTCTGAATGTTAATTGTATTAGTTAGCTCTGTTTGCTGTTTGTAAGTAATTAGCAGATCACCAGTATCTAAAAAAACTTGCTCGTGTAAGTTTCAGGATGTAGTGCAAAGCCAAATTTCAATGTTTATTCCTAAAATATTTGCTAAAGCTTGCTTCAGAGCATCCAAACAGTGGCAAATTTATTTATTTATGGCTGTCTAGAGTTTCCCAGCAGATGGGGCTCTTGCCCACAGTGTGGCCAGGCAGGTGCTGGGCTATGCAACCACTGCATGTTATTTTCTGTATGAAGTTGTTGCACTTCAGATCCTTTCAGCAGGCAGGGTAACCTTAAGTTGCCTGCTTGTGTGACTTGTGAGCCAGAGATTGGCTGAACATAAAAATGTCTGGAGAAATCTCCTCTCCAGTTTTCCATGCAGTGCAGGAATTCCTCAGGGGGAAGTATGACTCTTAATTTTGTTTTCCCTTGGTGGTATTTTCTGAAATGTTCTGGTCACTGGAATCCTGTAGATATCCTGGCATTTGAGTCACTCTCTCTCCAACTGTGCTTAATTTGCAAACTGGAAAAGACTTTTCCAGTGTTTCTGGAGCTGATTAGGAAGGCTTGATTTCTCATGACATAGGGAAGCTTGAATGCTTCTGATGTCTGTTTTTGCTTTCCTTCATTTTTAGCATTATCTCTTCCTGTATTTTGTATGGCCTCACTGACATCCTTTCAAGGATTCACATCTATTTGTTCTGTGCATGTTCCTGTAAATCACCTCTGTCTGATAGTTTGTGTTTCATGTAAGACAAGAAGGAAGACTGGCTGTAGTAGGGCTGAGCTTCCACATGCAAGTTTAATTCTATGCAATAGATTCCAACAGTGTCCTGTCTAACAGAGTTGATAAAGTTTAGTTTGAACGGCCTGGTAGAGATATTTTAACTTCAAAAACCTTGTGGTTTGACTGCATGTGTGCTGTGGCTGTCTTGTCTAGGAGGGAGCGCTATCAACAGCTAAGAAACATTCCTAAAGCTGGGTGTCTGCTCTCATCTCCATCCAAATTCCCTGTGAACAGACTGGTAGAAGAGTAGTTTGCAAAGCAATAGGCTGCCTTGCATCAGAGCAGCCCACCCCTGGGACTGCCGCAACCCCCACTGCTTTCATGCCGGTGGGAGGAGGGATGAATGGTTGGCGCCTGGCCCAGGTGTATTTGGAGCAGTTGCTGGCAGGTTTCTGAAAGCAGAGAGTTCCTCTACACACAGAAAATTCCTTTTCAACTTCCTCAGCCTATTTTATTTTCTTTGTTACAACGCTGTTTGCAGACATTAGTCTGACCCCGTGTAATCATCTTTATCGGGTAGGCACATATAATTCCTACATACCTTGTGTGCATGTGGTCAGTGTAAACTAAGGGCTCCCTTTTATCTGTAGTTGATTTTCCCTGTATCTCAGTGTGATGAGTCTCCACCCATTGTTCGTTCCCTCCATCTCTTAATACAACCTGTAAATTGTGGTATGAATTCAAAGCTAAACTTTTAAACTGTAGCCTTCAGTGCCATCTTCAGGCCCCACCAGAGGTGTGGCTCTCAGAAAAAGCTGCACATTCTCCACCTAGCCAAGAAAGAGAGGCTCTGTGGATCGGTCCCCAGTACTGGACATGCAACACCACCAGTCACTGTCTAAAATTCTGCTTTTCTTTCAGTTTTTGTTGCTTTTGGTAAAAATAACTAATCCTGAAAACAAACAGGTGTTGCACTGGAAGTAGAGCTGATAGGGTAGGGGGCAGTTCCTGGGTTGTTCCCTTTTTAAACTGGGGTTGTTCCTGTCACAGGTTGAACCTGTGAGTTCTTTTGTCAAAAGCCAGCATTGCTTCTGCATGTCCTCTGTCAGATAAAAACAAAGCAGTAAGCCTTGCTTTGGGGTTGGTCATTAATTTATCGGAAAAGTAGCTCTCTGAGTGAGGGAAGACTTGAGGTTTAAGCCTCAGATGCTCAGGCTGTGCATTTGTAGCCCTGCTCTGTTGGCATACCTGCATGGCATAGTACGTCTTAATTTTAAAACTGAACTGACTTTGGAGAGGCATTTGTTGCATTGAGAAATGAAAGAGAACATTAATGTACCTAAAGTTGGTTATGCATTTTCTTTGGCATATCTAATAACCTGTTCCTGTCTCTTTGCTGTAGATCGCTTGCACAACTCTAGATGTGGATCTGGTATGCATAAATGTAACAGAAAAGCTGCCATTCTACTTCCGAAGGCCCCCTGTGAATATGGTAAATTTACATCTAATTGTTTTTTTGCCGTTAGACTGAACTGACATTAAATACAGAATTTGTGTTGAATTCCCTACTCCTTTCCTCCCACCATTCCCATCCAAGCAGTTCTTTTATTTTCTTGCATAATATATGGTGTTGTTCCAGATGTCCTTCGCTTCCGGGCTCCACTGCAGCATTTAATACACAGTGATGTATATTCTTTCTTTTTCTCCTCCTGTCCCCCACTTAAGAAGGCAGAAGTGGTGTTCCCAAGGAATGGAAACAGAGCCTTAAGGCCGCTACTCTGCCAAGCAATGAGATGTGGTGTGATTGCTGACTAAGCTGCTTCCCAAACCAGAAGTGGTACAGCTGTGTCAGAATAGATAAACAGCCCCGTGATTTAAAAGACAAGAAACATGAATGACAGTGTTAATTTAGGAGAAAGATGATGTGCTGGTTACTTGGAAGACAACTGTGTTGAATCCATACTTAGACAAAAGAATGTCTTGGTAATTGAACCAAATGTGAAATTGCTAAATATCTGCTGTGGGACACAAGATGACTGTCAGCGTGGATCCAATATTTTTTTAATTCAGTTCTGCCTACTTTGGTGGCTTGCCAGAAAATTTAATCTGAACATGCTCTTAGGTGAACTAGTTGTTTCCTCTGAATATATGGCCAGGTTCATTCCACATGGGTATTTTTGGCTGATGTAGTCCTTAGTGCTTAAAAATTTAAATTTGGAATTGGCTAGTAATCCTACTTCCTTTTCTCAGAAAGTTTGACCTAGAATAAAAATAAAAAATTAGCTAGAATTAATTCTGAAACAGAATAAAAATATTACATCAGATTTTATTATAAACTGAGAACTTTAACATTCCACCTGGAATAACAGTTTTGTATGAAATGTTGTTTGAGAGTACCTTAGCTGCCTAAAACTCCAGAAGATGACCCAGGTAAGGAGCTGTGTGGCTCTTGGAGCCCTGTGTTGGGAGACATTTTCCTTAGAAGCTACTTCTCATCTTTCACACTCCCAGCTGCAAGGCATTCTGTCTGTTGGACTGGTTTTGTGCATCCCAGGGCAGTCAGTTTTGGTTGTTACGATGCCAGACAGACAGATTGGCAGGCAGCTGAAGTGGTGGGGATGAGGTTAAAAATCTGCTTGACTGGAAATTGGTGTATTGCCATCACCTGTTTTGGTTTTGATAAAGTCAGGCTTCTCTTGTTTGCAGATGTCAGACCAGTTCTGTGTAAACCATTTGATGTATACATAGCTTCTGTTGTGCTTGCATGCAGAGGTCATGCATGGATGGGAGCTGGATTAATTCCATCTGTATTCAGTTACTGGACTCTCTTACAATATTAGCATTGCAGCATATTTTAATAATATGAGTATTAAGCATAGAGTATCACTTCAGGCAAATGTATTATAGACCATGGACCAAAGAACTCCCAGCTCTAAATTGTGTCTTTATCACTAGTGCACTGTGCCCCATAGCAAGTTGCTTAACCTTTCTCTGTTTGCAAAAACAAGAATACTAGGCTTTTGGTGAGGTACTTTGACAGATAGCAAAGATTTTAAAGCAGCTGAAAATATAATCAGTATTACTATTTGGAACCTCTTCTGTGACTCAGTGTTATTTAATATTGTCACAAATACCAGAGTATGCTGTGAGACAGGAGAAGAGTCTTGATTGCTGCTTTTATGCAAGGACAAATTCTTCATCTGCAAGACATGGGTACAGTGGGAAGTGGTGATCTTCCTTACAGGAGGGTGTGGGACTAGAGGAGTGGAGTCCTCAAGGTTTCAAGACTTGTTTCTGACCGGCAGTGTTTACCTGTTTCCTCATCTCTGTGATAGTGGAAAGCCAATTAAAACAACTAAGTGGCTGGTAATTCTTTGTTTGTTAAACCTCATTTATCTGTCATCCCAAGATTCAAGTACACATACCTGATGTACAGTGGAGCTTTCCCCTATGATCCTTTCATGCTATGCTGGGCTTTTTCTGGAAAAATTCCTCCTTAATTTTTTCATATATAAAACAGTTAAACTGAGAATAAGCTACATCAATAATAGACAGCAGTTGTTAGATTGTTAGGGTTCTCTCCTTTTGATTTTTGATTACTCTCTTTCATGTGAAGGCAATAGATCGAGGCATTTACTTTGAACTTCTTTACACGCCTGCCATCAAAGACTCCACAATGAGAAGATACACAATTTCCAATGCAATCAGCCTGATGCAGATCTGCAAAGGAAAGGTAAGCTCTCAAAGTGAAAACTAGGTAATTAATTCAGTTCAAATTCTTCTAGAGTTGTACAGACTGAGCCATTTTAAATGAGTTTGATGCCAGGGTATCTGAAGCTGTGACTGAATCTTTGCCTACTAACACAAGGACACAATTATTCTAGCTCCAGATACTTCCAGCCTTTCACCACTGCCTGCTTTCTTAAGTTGTCAAGCTGTTAGATTCTTTCTTCAGAACAACCTATGTTTTTTTGTGGTGTGCAATTCCCAAAACAAAGGTGGGAGGGGATGGGGAGAGAATAAAGTTCCAGAGATCTAAGATTTGCACTAGAACTGAAATCCATGCATTTCTTTCAAATCCCCCATTTCATATTTCTGATTGACCAAAAGCTCTTTTTTTGATATATTGAATATGGGGGGATAGAAAACGATAAGAAAAAAAGTAGAAATCTTGTTTTGTTAAATGGTTAGTAAATTCCCTGTGTACAAAACAGACCCAACAGCTAGCTGGCTGTCAGCCAAGGCTTTGCTGCAGTCAGATCAACTGCATTCTTCCATGCTACTGAAACCCAAGGAAGAAGTAATGCTGAGATGTCTGTAATCCATTGCTTTCATAACTTCCCTCCTCCCAGGCTACCAGGTTAAGCTGTCTGTCATGCTGGGTCCTCTCAGGACATGATTTTTTAATAGGGAAGCATATCATAATACATACCCAAGTTAAAAGAAATTGTAGCTCCCACCAACTTTATTGGAAATGGCCTTTGCCACAGCTAGTCCAGAGAAGCTGAAATTGGCCTTACCCTGCAAATCTAGTCTGAAGTGGGATATAGAGCTTGGAAGGCAAATTAAAAGTAGATCCATCATTACCTCAGTTCCCCTCAGGCATGGCAACTTTTATAGGATAGCAGAGTGGGTCAAGCAGGTTAATTCCCTTGGTGCTACAGAATAAAGTAAGTATTTGCACAGTCTTTCCTGAGAAGCCCAGCTCTGGGAGTTAATTGCACAAAATACTGATTTGGACATGAATTATATACACAGCAGGCCTCTTTCCTTTGACATTCATTTTTTACCAGTGTTTCTCTTTCCTCTGTGCAGTTCAAGATGTGCTTCTCACATGGTTGTTGATTTGGAGAGGACCAGTTGAGTTGATGTCACAAACAGGGCAAGTGAGATGTTCAGATGCTCAGGCTTGCATGCTTTTATTCTGCACCTGTCAGTCTTCAATCTGTAGCCAGCAGAGCTGGTTGTTAGCCGTTACTGACAGTTTACTTCCATCAGTCATGTAAAGGCGCTTTTTAAATTTTTTTTTAATGAGACAGGAGATGGCTGGTCCATAGACTACTTGCATTGGCACCTGGCACCCAAGTCTTGCCTTCTGTAAAGTTTAGTTGCTGAACTTGCAGAACCTTTTGGATCCTTTTGTTCTTCCTCTGTTGTAGCAGGGCAGAGAAACTTCCAGAAATTTGCTGGTGTCTGCATTGCACGGAGTCCTTAAAACATGTTAAAGTGTGCAGGGGATGAAGAAGGGATTTACCTGCCTTGCTTGTCAGAAGGTGTGCATAGCCACAGTCCCTCACCTCCTGTGTTTTGGTAACTGAGTCTGAGTGCTGCCTGGAGCAGTGTTCTGAACAGCTGCTGTCTCCTTTACCTGGGGAGATAGTGTTTTGCCTTTGAGTTTTTCCCTTTAGCCCTTCCCTTAGATTTGCCTTTGCCTGCCTCTCTTTTTGCTTGCTGGCAGTGCTTTTCTTGTCTGCTCTTGTCTCCTTCTCCTGTCTTACCCATCCTCTAATGGAAGCCTGTTGCCTTTGAACCAGGCAGAGCATATCTCCCATGCACAGTGGTGAACCACAATCCCATGCTGGTTCAAGATCTTGCACAGCTGCTCTGGGAGCTTCTCTGAGCCTGGGACGCAGGCGTTAGTTGCTACAGCTCGAAGCAGGAGACTTGAATTTTCCCAGCAAACTCTTGCAGTCGGCACCACTGAAGCTCAAAAGCACCCTTGGGATCCATAGTGCAGTCAATTTAAAGGTGAACTATGCAGAAAGAAATGTCCTAGGCACCATCAGGATGTGTGCTGTTAAGTCACTGTGATGTATGTATTGCTTCTGGCCTTCCTTATGGTAAGGCAGAATTGTCTGGCCCATCCTCTCCTCAGCACACAAGGAAACCTTGGGCACAGTGAGAACATACAGTCATTTTCGTGTAGCTTTCACATGTTGAGTTCCAGTTGCACACAGGGCATTTTCTTCCAGTGTCTGCCCTTTATGCTGTGGAGGTGGCAGGACAAGCTTAGCAGTGTGAGGAAGGGATCTAAAGCCCCACCTTGAAAGTGGAGGTGGCATGAGGTGTTGGTGGTACTGACGTCAGAGAGGGAAAGCCTTTTGCTGCCTCAGTACAATTCTCATTCCTACCCACTCAGGCAAGAATTCCCAAAGCTTTTTATTCAGCTTAATAAAAGGTGCAAAGCAGTTTTGCTGCTGCAGAGTTTCCACCTGTGGAAAACAGTCTCTCCCTGGGTGAGCATCCTTGGAGGTTTAACTTTAGAAAAGCTCTGGCAGCTGAGCTGTGGTGTCTGCCAGCCCCTGTGTACTGACATACCTGTTTTGCAGAAACCTTTTAGGAGTGAAGGGAGAAGGATTTCTTTCAGACTGGCAATTTTCGTAGGGGTGCCAGTGTTGGGGGTATGGCACGAATTGGCAGCCACTGCCTAGGTGTAGATAGGTTTCCTGAACCACTGTGCGTCTGATTAAGGACAACGTGAATGCTGAGCTTAGCATCAAGTTGTACTGCAACAGAGTAGGCTGAAAATTCAGGAGCACCAAACTGTCTAAAGGCACTATCTGTAAGCTGCTTTTGGGGGATCCTGGACTCCTAAATCCATTTCCATTACATCTCAGAGAGCGTTGTTGTTTGTATGGGGCATCTTTCAGCTGGTGTAAATAAGGGGGGCACTTCTTAACACCGTATCTGCAGCTCTGCATTTTTTTCTTTACCCTTAGGGTCCCTTTGAAGTCCACTATGAGTGATACAGGCAGATAGGTACTTGCTTAATGCCACCACTCTTGACATTTATACTGCTTAGCCTGTCCCTCTTAAAGGTGCTGTACTTACTCAACTCCTGCGTCTCTGTGAGAGGTTTATAACTCCAAGGGAGGCTTGTGCCAGTGCCCCTCTCTGTGTAGGGGATAGGGCAATAACTGAGTTTAATCATGTCCTCAAATTAAGATCCCACCCTGCTAGAGTTCACTTCATCTGAGGGCCTCAGATACTCTGATGTTTAATTGAGCTCTGAGCCTGAACTTAGTTAATGCTCATAAAGTCTGTGCTGTTTGCTGATTTTTTTTCGTTTCTTGATGCTGTCTGACAGATGAATGTTTGTCTTCTTTTGTTTTCCAGAACATAGTTATATCTAGTGCAGCTGAAAGGGTAAGTCCTAGATTTTTTTTTTTTTGAAGTCAGAACAATTTGAAGATTTATCTGTGGCTTAAAATACAGCTTTAATTAAAAACTAAACATATAAAAATTGTAAGTTTAAATATGATTGCCATCTTCAGGAGTTTTTTAATCAATCTGCTTTACCAAAGAATTGTATTATGGGTTTGGGGATTTTCTTTTTGTTGTTTTGCTGGGGCTTCTGGGGGGTTTTTGTTGCTGCTGCAATATTTTCCATGACAGTTTTTTCCCAGCTGGGGACTCTGCCAAAACAGTGGTATTTGTTTGATTTCCTAGTGTATCTTCGGCAGCTTGCTCTAATGTAGAATTTAATCTTACCTACCTGATAGCCTTGTCCTGCTTGCTCACTCTGTCAGCCTGCAAGCAAGGGCATGCACATATTCAAACTTCTTTGTTCTTTTTTAGCCTCTGGAACTACGAGGTCCTTATGACGTGGCTAATCTGTATCCTTTTCACCAGTCAAAGACAGCAGTTAGTAGTAACACTTGAAAGTTCAAAGTGGTTTTGAAATTCTTTCATCCTTTACAGTCCTTGAACTTTATACAGTGATACTTGTTGGTGACCACTTCAATGAATCAGGGCTCTCTGTGTGTGTGGAAGGAGCAACAGATCTTGGTCATGGGGTGGTGTGAGTAGTCACTGCAGACAGTAATGTCCGTGTTCAGCTACAGGTATGTTTTGTTGTGATATACATTGATGTTGTGTGGGTGAAAATGGAGAAATGAATAAAAAACATACAAGTCTATGGACCCTGCAAACCAAACAAGAAATTATTACTTAGGATCTCCAAAGTGCCACATATTTGGTAGCAAAAGCTATAAAATTGTATTTATGTAAAATTGCAAGAAGTTCCTATCTGAGTGCTGATTACTTCTGAATCTTCCAGTCCTTAGTTACATATGTAATGTTAAATAAGTGGTTGTGTTCTGGAAACCAAGGAGAGCGTCTTTTCTTCCCTTCTTTTAGGAATTCAGATGCATTTTTATGACTCTCCCCACCCCACAAGCACATCTCTGGACTGTCCCTCGAAGGGAAGGAGCGTGCTCTGAGTCATAAGAACTGTGTGGGAGGCTGTGCGGCCCGGAAGGATTTTATGCACAACATTTTCTTCCCTCTTAAAATGAGCAGTCAGGCTCAACCCAAATTAACACACCTAATCTGGTGTCATCCCTGCCGAAGGTGGCTGGAAACTTTTCAGCATGATGCTTTTGTATCAGACAGTGTCCTTTCCCCAAAACTGAAATTTTCCATGGGGTGATTTTTTTGCTTGATTATTCATATCTAAAATGTTCCTGCATTGACAGACTTTTCTTTTCAAAAGTACAGTTTCCTGCCTGGTAAAAAGCAACGTTGCCAGGAGGGCTGCTGGGGAACTGCAGCCCGGAGAATTGGGTGCCTCATTTCCCTGCCTCTGGGTAACCTTATGCAAAATGTCACTTTGAATTACAGCTTTGCTAATTCCCAGTTATTTGTAGAGTAAGCAAACCTATGTGCCGAGAGACTTCCCTATTCTGTTTGCTCCTTTCTGTGCATTTTGATCCTGAGCAATGCTGACAGAGGTTTGCTGTTTGGCCTGTCGGAAAGCGAAGCAAAGGCAGCCGTGTCCACCAACTGCAGAGCCACCATGCTTCATGGAGGTGAGCACTTGTAAGCTCCTCTAAGTAACATGTGCATTTGCTAAAATAAATTCCTCTTAATGCATATTTTCCAAAAGGTCTGAGACCTTACAAAGCAAGTCGGATTAGGGTTTTAGCTCCCTTGTCCAATGAATGAAGAGGAGCTTGTGTGGCAAGGTTTTTTTTTTTCCCGTGTAACCATGTTAGCAAATCAGTGGGGAAACTGGTGGTGCTGTCTGTGCTGGAGCACTCGCTTAACCACATTAACGAGTCATAAATGGTTTAGCCAAAATAGGGACCTGCCTGCTGTGCTTCATAGTGAAACTGTCCCCTGTTTCAGAACAGGTTCTTAGTTTGTTGATTTTTGTTGTTTATTCTGATGGCAGTTTAACTTTCTGAGTAGTCATCTCTTAATTTCGGCCTCTGTCAAGGTTTGTTGGGTAGGTGTGACTAATAGTCACCTTCCCAACAACTTGAGTTGCTCTAAGGTGCAAATGCACAGTAGGATTTGGGTTGCATCTCTTTTTTCAGTAGAAGTGGGGCTTGAACCTGCTGTAATTTGCAGCAGGTAGCTTTGATCTCTTGGTGAGGGCATTCCTGTGAGCAGGGTCCTCCTCCAGCTTGCTGCTCATCTACATAGAGGCATAGAGTGTGTTGAAAGAATTTTTGTCAAGTTTATGTAGAATTTCTCAAGACCCTCATCTATCTTATCTGTCTATCTTATCTGTGAAATTAAATAGCAGATGTTGTTTCCCTGTCCCCTAAAGAATTCTAGCCCAGAATAAGTCAATATATTTTGGCAAGGTTCTTTCAGAGCCTCTTTGCTAACAGACTATTTGTAGGGAATTTCTTCTACCTTCAAATTTTGCAGAGAAGCCTCCCACCAGTCATTATGAAGTTGGATTGGGCTTCACCAGGTTCTTTTGGCAAACATCACACACTAGTAGTTTATGGTAATGTTGAGGGTTTGGTAAATAAAATTCTTGAATACCATAAAGCCACTTATTGGGTATGTAGGGGATCCTCTGCCAATATAGCTGTGCCAGTATAGTCTGTTTAGGAGTCCTGGAGTATGTGAATGTATTTTTTAAATATTTTTTTAAGAATGGTATTTTTGGCTCAGAAATGCTTTTGTCAATGCTTCAAGAATGTGTCCTTCTGTGACTACTGAACTGATTAAGCCTTGTTTCCTATGGGTTTGTGTCTCTGCAGCCCTTCAGTCCCTGCAGACCTCAGTTTTTCCTTGTTTGCTGTAAATCTACATCCACGATTGTATATCCCCCCATAGTTTCCCTATTCTGTAATGCAGTGAATCCCCAGCTCCTGCCCCTGCAGTTGCTTGCGTGCTGTGCATGCTGACTGGCTGGCTGTTCAACATGTTGAACTGTGCTTTGGGGTATGGACATCTGAACTGAGCATGCCTTAAATGCATTAGCGTCATTTTATTTGAGGTACTGCAGCTTCTGCTTGTATATTCCAGAAACTCGGAAGACTGCCTGTGGGGTGGTGTACACAGTGAAGAAGCCTCGCAAGGTTGAGGAGGAGGAAACAACAGTGCCAGCCTGCAAAAAAGCTAAGACTCAAGCTTGAGGACTGAAACAACTGTAAACAGGAGCCTCTTCTTTACCTAGTGTTGAGTCTTCCTTCACCCTCCAGCCCAAGTCCTCCCTTACTACTTTGTTTAGCCTGGAGAAGAATTGTTCCTCTGGTGTTCAAGTGAGGAAAGCTGTGTGAATGAGACTGCTGAATGTTAGTTCACCACATCTGAAAGGTCATGCTGGGCTTCTGGCCAGGAGACTGACTCTTCACCTGGCCTTAGGTCTCCTGGAATTAGTGCAAAGTCAATTGAACATTTCTATCATGGAAATTTTCACTTGTACATGTGCATTCCTTTTTTATTAAACGTGTTTCTAAGAACACATGCCTTCATAGTCTAGCTCTTACGGTTTCTTAAGTTTTAAATACGTCTTTGTACAACTGCAAACCAATAGATGAAGTTTACCTTCAATGGCCTGTGAAGAGATAATAGTGCAGTAAAAAAAAAAAATCTGCTTCCCATTCCATTTTGTGATCAATGGCTACAGTGAAGGTCCCAGGATCTGTCAATTGCTAGGAGATATCTTGGATTTATGTTACAGTAGGAGTGACTGACCTGACCTGCCAGATTTAAATCCCGAAGGCCATCTGTGTCCTGCAGCACTTAAAACCAAGCAGTAACATTAGATGGTTACCAGAGATGGGAAGGAAGAGCCCAAGGTTACACTGAATGCGTGCTCAGCATGGGGTGTTTCAGTTGCAGTGTAAGAGCTGTGTCACCTAGGCCGAGCAGTCTCCACGTCACATCATCTTTACTGCATCATTTCCTTCTTTATGGCCTGTTCTGGAATTGTTGTCTGTGCACGTGTTCATTTTGCTACCTCTTGCCTTTCCTTCCTTCAGTGCCTCAGTAAACCTGATCTGGCTGCCAAAAAACCAATCATAATAGATTTATGATCGGCAGAGCATTTTCAGAGCTCTTCCAAATGTTGACTGAAGTTTTTCTTGTGATTAAACTAATATAAAAATTACATAAGCTACTGTACTCAAAATACTTGAGTGAACTTTACTGCAAATATTCCGGTTCTCTATTTGCACCTGACAACATGTGGAAGTTGTAACACACAGAATACTGGGTCATCTCTGAGCTCTTGGTAACTGTACTGAGCAGAATAGAGGAAGTTCTCAGTAGACTTAACAGTTCTGTATAATGCTGGTGTAAGTCACAACAGCTTTTGCTTCATTCAACAAATAATGAGATATTTTTCCTTTATGTTATCATTTTATTTGTTGACTCTGTGACTTCTGACCACTTTATTTGTTGACTTTGTGGCTATTTTATTATAGGTATTGGGGAGTAACATATATATATATATATATATATATACATAAAATTATGCTCTAACCGGAGAAGAAGCAAAATGTGTTTGGTGCATGAATACAGCATGGAATGCCTCTCTGCTCTGCTCTCTCCCACCTGCAGTTCTGTGTCCTGCTCAGGAGTCCTCAGCACAGGAAGAACATGGACCTTTGGAGTGGGTCCAGAGAGGGCTACAAAGATGATCAGAGGGCTGGAGCGTTTCTCCTGTGAGGAAGTGCTGGGAGAGCTGAGTTCAGCCTGAAGTAGAGAAGGCTCTGGGAACACCTTATTGGGGCCTTTCAATACTGAAAGGGGACTTATAAGAAAGATCTTGCCAGAATTTTTATCAAGGCCTATTGTGATAGGACAAGGGGTAATGGTTTTAAAGTAAAAGAGGGTTGATTTAGATTGGATATAAGGAATACGTTTTTTACAATGAGGGTGGTGAAACATGCCACAGGTTGCCCAGAGAGGTGGTAGATTTCCCATCCCTGGAAACATTCAAGGTCAGGCTGAACAGGCTCTGAGCAATTTGATCTAGTTGAAGATGTCCCTGCTCTTTGCAGGGTGTTGGACTAGATGATGTTTAAAGATCCCTTCCAGCCCAAATTGTTCTATCAGTCTATGAAATGAGACATGATGCCCTGGCTGGCAGCATTGTGAAGGTTGTCCTGCTTCTGCTAAAGCAAAGAGAGAGGTGTCTGCTTTTCCTAACAGGACTTGGCATCTCCCTTGGCTTGAGTAACTGGAGTTGTCTTGTGCCCCAAATAGTAAGTACTGACTTGTTGAGAATGAGATTTTTTTTTTTTTTAATCAAACCCAGTAATAAAACTGTAACTTTGTTTTACTGTTTACTCAAGTACTGTCTTTTTGCTTTCATATCTGCCTCCATTAAACAAAATAAGCAAGAGATGGGATTTATCTAACAGTGGCAGGGAGATGGCTTGAGGGCTGGCTGCTTTTGGCAGCTCAGACTTCTTCCCTGAGTTTTTAAGAATTTTACAGAGGCCAAGATGTGAACTTCCTTTAAAGAGAGAAAAAATAACCCCATGCATGTTCACCACTCCATCATCCACCCAAGCAAATAAAAAGAAACCACTCTGTTTATTTAATCTGAAATGGATCAGTTCAAAATGTACAGAAAAAGCAGTACAAATTTACAAATATACATAATCTGATTTTGCGTTCTTCAGTCATCATACTTTGTAGTAGTCTAGCTTAAAAAAAAATTCACATTTCTGATACTGCCTCCTCTCACCTTCACAACATGGCATCTGAATCCTCCAGTCCAAATGATTACATGATGGTTGGAGCTCTGTCCTCGAGCTCTTTATCAACCACGATTGCCAAACCCTGTGTAAACACCATTACTCAACTACTTCTTTAAATCCACTTGGCATCTCAGTATACCTTCTTCCATTGCCCTTCCACATATCACCGCTCATTTCACAGATTATTTTAATAGTGAGAATTCAGCAGAGACAAGGCAACAATTGCAAGTATTCGCTATTTAGAGCTGTTGGAAGGCTTGAGGAAAGTTGCTAATGTGGTTGGAAATACTGCCATTTAAGATAAAAGGATTTATGTTGCTGGCAAAGATTGCATTAGGATGTAAAGCTCCATTAAAAAAAAAAGCTTAAATAATATTAAGAATCATTAAAAATTGCTTTTAAATAAATAAATAATAAATAGAAATAAATAAAGCCATTTTAGAGCCAGTGGAATTTTAACACTCAATTACTTTGCGGGGGGTTTTTTGCAGTTTTTGGTGAAGATACCTCAAATAATCCAGTGCCATAAATATTTTCAATAAAAATACTGTGTTCAAGGGCATCTTCATCCAGATTCGAGTGAAGCATTTCAAAGCAGCAAAAAGAGAGTGGTCTGGTTTCTCTCTTCAGAATTTGCTTGGATGGACACTCTTTTTGGAATTGTTTTTCAGGCTGTTGAATATCTCTTTGGTGCCATTCTGCCACTGAAGAACAAGATCCATGGGGGTTTTCCCTTGCTGGTTAAAAAAGCAGAGGAAGCATGATTTAATTTCATCCAGTGGTTGCTGAGTCCTTGTTCTTTCCTACATACATCACTGCATCTCCTGAAGTGAGACCCCTCTGCACACACAGGCTCAAGACTTAGTCTCGCTCCCTAAGGTCAGAGTACCTTTGCTCTACAGAGCAAAAGGTTTCAGTAAGTCTAACCATATTGGCAAATACTGTGATTAGTAGAACATGCAGGTGTTTCTTTTCTTCTAGTTTCAACTGATTAGAAATATATTTAGGTGAAACCTCAATAAGATGCTTTTCTCTTTAATTCAGAATTCAGATGAGAATTTGTACTGGTTAATTAGGGTATAAACCACAGGAATTAAATAAAACCAATTTTTGTGTGCAGACAAAGTCTGAGAAAGCAAGTCTCTGGCCTTTGGGGCTTTATCTTCTATCATTGTCATACCCTGATGAGTGATAATGCCGGGAGCTACCCTGCTTCAGGGAGGTGGGTGGAGACTAGGGAGTGCAGAGTGCTCCAGTGACTGTTTTCTTCCTTGTACCCTGAAGTTTTGATTGATTGTCATTTAAAAACATTGACTGGCAATGTTAAACCCCATGCTACTGCTGCTAGGTTTGGATTTGGGAGAAAGGGTCTATGATGTGCTATATTTTAACAAGTAGTCACAGAGCTCCAACAACACTGCTGCTGCTGCAGCTGTGAGCTGAGTCAGGTGTGGGACTTCTTGAAGCTCCCCTGAGCCACAGGGATTTGTTGCCCAGTGGTAAGGTTAACAGCCAGTCATCCAGATGTAGTGCTGGGGCTGGCTATCAGCTGTGGGCTTAACAGAAAGGAGATTTCTCTGACAAGCTAAGATTTTTATTGTCTCAGTGGTGGTCGAAGCCCAGGAGTTGTGCAGAGTAAGTGTCTGTCCATTGTATCTTTTCAATGTACAATACGAGTAATTAAAATAAATCTTAGAAAGATGTGATGCTTTTTAAGTGGCAGCTGATGCTTTCTAGTTTTAAAAGAGGTACTGGGCTTTTCTCTTTTTCCCTGACCTCCCCCAAGTTACACTTTCCTTGCCGCAGCTCTGCTTTAATTAGCTCTGAAGTGATCTAATTAAGTCTATTCACAGTAGTTTCTCCCAGCCTTGAAGCCTATGGAACTGCTCTGAAGGGAAACTTATTTTAAAGCATTTTGAATTGCTTCATTTTTGTGCTATTACTTACGCAGTTCTTTAGAGTTAAATCTGCTCCGTGCAGAATCAGAAGCCGGATCATTTTGTAGCGGTTCAGCCTCACGGCGTCGTGCATTGGAGTGTCTCCTTCCTAGAGACACGAGACATGGACCACAACGTCAGTCCTGCCGGTCCAGCACCACAGTCCAGCCCCAGCTGCACAGTCAGGGATTTTTACAGGCAAGTGGAACTATCAAGGCAGTCAGCAGCTTGATGCCACCTGGTAGCTGACAGGTAAGAGGTTGCTGGTACTTACTCTGTCCCTGGCGTTGAGATCTGCTTCACAGGCAATGAGATGTTCCCCACAGTCGTATCGCCCTGTTCTCACAGCCACGTGCAAAGGGGTGCTGAGCAGCTGAGGGGGGAGGAGAGGAATCTGTCAGTGGCATGGAACAGGTAAAAGCTGCTTCAAAAACAGCTGCCAAAAATTATCTACTAGGAGTAAGGATCAGCTTTTCATGTCCAATTAAAAAAGCTGCAGAGTCCCACAAGCACATACCTTATCTCTTGCATTTATGTTTATCCCTTTGTCCAGTAAGAATTTCACAACATCCAGACTACCTCCCCGGCATGCCCAGTGCAGAGCTGTAGATTGAAGCTGCAGTAGGAAAACAAATTAAAAGGACTTTAATATATCATTATATTAAAAAAGTTAAACTATTTTGATCAAATTTCTAAATAAAAAATAATTTTTATGCAATTTAACCTAAAGCACTTCACTGTGATCACCAAATTGTTTCTAGTAACAGCTTTTCTTATTTTGCCCTAATTTCTGCAGTATTGTGATTTTCTCACTCTTCATGCATGTT